TTAACTTGCTTTAATTTTGAAAAAAAAAAAAAAAAAAAAAAAAAAATTCACATTCCAACAACCCTTTCTTTGCCTCTGCTTACATGCCGTGCATGTGTATTCGTGAGGAAAATGAGTGAGAGTGAAACGAGGTTATGGATGAGTATCGTGAAATAAAATTTTGACTAAGCCTTGTCATTCAAAAATCGAAATCAGCACATTTCCCTACACTTGTGTCATCCCCCTTTAATTCAAAATTCTAGTTAAGGAAAAAAATAACCTCTAGTCACGTGGCTTCCCATAACTCCCCCCCCCCCCCCCCCCCCCCCCCCCCTTTCTTTTTTTTTTTTTTTTTTTTTTTTTTTTTTTACTTTATTCAACTCCTAATCGCTGCCAATATAAATACAAACACTCACGCACGTTCGTCATAAATTCTTATACACAACTCCTTCCATTTCTCCCATCTCAAGTTTCTCGAGTTTTATTTCATTTCCCAAAATATCCCAGAATTCAAAGATCCTTCCTTCTGCATTAAGGTAATTATAATAAACTTAAATTCCTCTTAATGCCTCTATTAAACCATTATTTTCTTGGTTTTCTTGATTGTAATTTGTATTTCTTTGTGTGCGTGTGCGTGTTTTCATCTGAAACGCAGCTTCTTGAATCCATCAAATGGTTGCCTCTTCAGCCGTTTGATCTTTCAAGAAGCAGATCAGTTCATTAATTACAGGTTGATTTCAAATCCCTGTATTTTTCCTAGAATTTATTGTGTGTTTGTAGGATTATTATCGATATTTCAATTAATAATTGGGCGGTAATTATTTTTCAGATTGCTTTCCGGCCCGGAAACCGTTAAAGATGATCGGAGAATTTGTTACCAGAAGTTTAGTGTAAGTCATATAGTTAATCTTTGGTGTTTGGCAGACTGATTCTTTTTGTTTTTATCTTTTACTTTTGGAACTTTTCTTTTGAATGAGATTTTTTTTTTTTTAAATAGATTTTGACTGAGTAAATAGTTGAATTTTATTCTTGGATTGAATAGGTTGGTTCTTGGATACGCTTATCCGGCTTTTCAATGTTTCAAAAGTTTAGAAAAGAATAGAGTTGATATTCGAGAACTCAGGTTTTGGTGCCAATATTGGTAAGTATTTTCGAATTTTCGTTTCCAATTATATTTCTCTTCTTTCGAATTTTCGTTTTCCAATTATATTTCTAAATGAAAAAATGAAGTTGACAATTGTGGGCTCCACAATTATTGGCCTTTTTTAGAATTAATAATTAATAATTTTAAGAAACTTTGAACCAATAAAGGCTCTCAAATGGCGTTTCTTCAAAGCGAAGGGTAAGCATATTTTTTTAGGCCAAATATGAAAAGTAAGTACTAAATTACAACATATAATGGACGAATCGATTGATTATAGTTAATAAAATTATAACTTTTATTTTATATATTAATAAATTATCTATTAGACACGACACACTAATTAATTGATAAATTATTTAATTAATATGACTTTCCATGAAATGATCACTAATTAATAAATATTTCGCCTTGCTATTAATTAAGTTATGTTATGCATATGATTATACATAGTAAAATGGACAGGCACCCCTCCAATAGGTGGTCCCATGCCATGTGACGACCTTGTCCCTATCTCCAAGTCGGGATAGGGAGCAGAGTTGTAATAAAATAGGGTAATATGACAAGACTATTAGTAGTTTGTATTTAATTAAGGTTTTTTTTCTTTTTAAACCGAAGGAGCCTACGTGGGTAGCAAAAATCATTAATTAATCACTTAAATTATTACTTTTTACACGATAATGACTCATTTCTGTAGTTGTTTATTTCTTTATATTTTTGTGAAAAGAATTGACCTGGAGACTATTGGGATTGGATTCAAAGACTGAATCTTAGTCAACAAAAATATTTTGCTTTTTTTTCTTTTTTTTTTTTTTTTTTGGTTGTTTATTAGCAACAAACTGATAAATTTTACTTTTGTATATTACAAGTTGTGACCAATAAACTTACAAGTAAGTCAAATAATGGTTAAATTAATATCAATTATACTTTTAAACACCAAAAACGTAAAATCTATTTTAGCTTGCCTCAATTATTTCGAGTATCTTTAGTATGTTGAACTACTATATAAAGCTAAATACGATTATATGAAAGATGAATGTAAAATATTTATCTCTAGCCTTATCATAAATTGTTTGATACTTACAGTAAAATTTACAATTCTGCATGAAATTTTTATAATATGAAAGTCCCTAAAAGGCTGGAGATCGATTGTACAAGAATTACTAATCGAATAAAAATTAAGTAGAGAAATCTTAGGTGCTAATAAATTTAAAGAGACTCTTACTGAATTTTATTTGTATCTTTTCAGGATTATTGTTGCAGTGCTGACAATTCTCGAGAGAATTGGTGACGCATTTGTTTCATGGTATATTCAATGATTTTAGATATTTTATTTGGCAATTTTTTTTTTTTTTTTTTGGGGTCATATTTTCTAAATTCTTTCTCCTTCCTTACATAGGCTGCCAATGTACGGTGAGATGAAGCTGGCACTCTTCATCTACTTATGGTATCCAAAAACAATGGTACAGATCTCTCCTTTTTCTTTTCTTCTTTTCAAAATGTGCAAAAGAAGTTCTCTTATTTCTAATTTCTTTGAATATTTGCCAAATCCAGGGAACAGGCTTCGTCTACGACACCCTATTGCGACCTTATGTGACAAAGCATGAGATAGATATAGATCGGAGTTTGATCGAATTTAGGGACAGAGCATGGAATTTAGCCATCTACTATTGGCAGAACTGCACTGAATTGGGCTCGGAAAAAATTCTCCAATTTCTTCAATTCGTGGGTTCGCAATCTGCCAGGATGACGCATTCCAATTCTGAGGTACAATCCGATTCATCATCGCTCTGAATTTTGTATTGTGTAAAGTGTATCCTTATCCAATAATCTAAGCAATCTTTCACATCAAGTTAGTTGAGTTTCTTCCGCATGCACAACAATTGCTCAATTTGCACTCAATGAAAATGCCTAATCATAACCCTTTTCGAGAAGGAATTGAGTCTTTTGGTCCATTGCTTTAAATTCCATCATTATGGTAATACACTGCCATAAACTTTGAACAAAACGTGCATCACATTCACAGCTTGTGCTGTCACTTTTTCTAGTTACTACTAATTTCATTTCATATCATAGTGTCACAATTTATTTGATGTTGAAAATTCTAACCAATTCTTTCAATAATTTCGTGTAGAATAGAGATGATCGACGCTCTAATGCGAATCCTCAGTCGAGCACAATGTTTGGAATGTTCAAGAACAAGCGGCAGCCACCTAAATAAGAATCTATTCAAGTTCAGCTTAACAACCAAGCACAATCTATACGGGATGAGGACATTCTAGTTCCGGATACGGACAAATCCGGTGTCGACAAGCATTTAAATTCTCGGATCAAATTTAGACGCTCCAAAGGTAGTAATAATTAGCAAAATATTGTAAAAACAAAAATAAAAAAAAATTGTAAAATATATGAAATTGTAGGAACATTTTAAAGTTATTCATTTTATGCGCTTCATGTTTTTATTTTTCACCAAATTGAATCGAATTGCTGTTTGTAATATTCCAATTATGCCATTACATCATAATAACTGAAAAAATTTGAAAAATCCACAAAGCACGGTTCTTACTGTTGTTATCTGGAGCTCCGAATCTGGATAGTCCTAAGGATCCAATCAAGGGCCCGGGTAAGGACCCGGACAATTTGGCGACTCACAAAGTCAAAGAAGGCGGCTACACGCGGCCAGACAAGGTGCGGGAAGCCGTTTCCAGCGGAGTCAGGGGAGGTGGATATGGGTTGGAGATAAGCCCAAGCAGCTTGCTTCACGAGGCGATTGCGGATGCAGATATCGGACCCTAACTGAGCTTGATGAGACACGCTAGGCCTCGGGGAGTTGACTGCAACTGAGGGTAAAAGGTCTTTTAGTGAAGTATAGCTATGGGAGGCCGGCTTGATTGATAACAGCTCGAAGTCATCGGAAGGAAATGATGATGATGATGATGAAGATAAGGCGGAGGCGGAGTTCGTGGTAGTAGTGGTGGAGGAAGAGGTGGCGGAGTTGTGGCGGAGAAGAGAAAGTTTAGAGGGGATTACCTCAACTGCGGTCGAGATGGAGTTCCGGCGCCGGATAAGAGAGTGGTTTTCAGCCGCTGGCTGCGGCGGCGGTGTAGATTCGATGTCGTTCATGGCGGCTGGACTGCTAGACAGAGATTGAGATTTAAGAAGACAGGATTGCTTTGATTTTGCTAATTTATTTGGGGAATGTGAAATTGCAATGAGTTTTAAAAGTTATTTTAAATTTAGATATTTTTAATTAAAATTTTATTAAATTTTATTTAAATTCATTAAAATTTAAGTATCCCCAATTAAAATTTTAATGAAATCCTTTAAAATTTAAACATCCTCGATAATTAGTGAATTTATAAAGATTTTATTAATAGAAGGATTTTAAAAGATTTGGATGGATTTCAAGTTTAAAAATACATATAAGTAAATTTTTTGAAATTTCACTATATTTGATAAGATTTTTATGAAATTTGTAAGAATTTATTTAAATTCACCAAATTAATTAGAATTTATAATTATTTAAAATTTATTAAAATTTTAATTGAGAACAGCTAGTTAGTTTATTTCTTGAAGGTGTCGTTTAGATGGCGTATGAGATTTTTGTTTGTTTGGAGTGACGCAATTATTGGCGTACATTGTTACACTTTCTCCTGCTTATTGGTTAAATGAGATTTCAATAATGGAATTGAAATTGTTTATTACAAAATAAAACTTACCATGTAGTCTAGACTTTATATTTAATTATTTAAATTCTGCTAACATTATAATTATTGACCTCAGAATTTGGTAGGAAGAAGCCGTCCACTTGTGTGCAATAGCTGTTGGGAATTTACTTAAATATGTACAGCGAAATTAAATAAATTTTAATTTTCATTCAGGATTCAGCTTTGTATTTAGATAAGAATTTTGATAAGAAAAATACATTTTCTTGATTTTGCAAACTCCTTCGTGTTATTTCTTTCCAGCAGCTTGAATCTGCCGGCTACAGTTGTCCAATTGTCCAGCCTCCAATGAAATCCACACAGAGAATAGACTGCAACTGGTAGGGTTTCTCCTCTTGTGCCAACAAGAATAATAAAAACTTTATGGCCCTCAAACCCTAGCCATGTATTTATATAAACCCAAACGGGCTCGACCCGATCCAGTCCAATATTTAATTAATCCGTTTAATTAAACTCGGTCCTTAAATTAATTAATCCAATTAATTAATTCGAAAATATAAATAACAAATTCAATTAATTAATTTATTCAACGATTGTTAAATTAATCAATTGGCAATTTGCAATCTTCCAATTCTCTTTTGTGTGCGACTCATTAGGTTCCCGACCACGATATCTAACGACATGAAATATTATTTTGATCTAATCAAAACTGATAAATTAAACACCCTTTTAATTTATCACAAATTCACACTTGCCGTCCCGGATTGACATCTAGCAATGTATCAAGGCAACACATGTGACGGGAAATGTCACGTGGTATGACAAAATCAAAACTGTTAGTTCACCATGAAATTATAATCCCTTCGTCAATATGATCCGATCAACTACGAGATATGGAAATGTGTCAATCTCGATTATCGATCATATCTTTCATTCTACTATTAAGTCAATATGAGTCGAAAACTCCTTTTCGACTTATATGTATACCTTGGCCAAGAATTTCGTTATTGACTTAATTGAAGGAAATGCAGATCACAATCTCTTACTATCTAAGAGTGACGAATCCTCTATTGATCATTCACAACTTTCATATGGTTCTTAACATACTCGAACGATGTCGTATTAGCGGCCCTTGATAGAGCAACATCCAATATCGTCAAAATATGATTGTCCTCATACAAGGCACTATGATGACCTCAAGTTGTAGGACCAATTTCACTACCAAGCGTTAGAGATTAACTACTGACACTCAAATAGTTACCATATAGAATCTCTTAGCGGGTCTCCAATGTTTTGCTCTATAACAAAACATCCACGTGTTCATTTAAGTGTCACCACACTTTAGCTCGTGAGATCAGCTACTTACTTACTTCACAAGTAAGAAATGTCACACGTGATGGTCTAACTGTATTAACGATATCCGTATCTCGTTATTACTTACGACCACAGTTTATTCAAAATCCAATTATATGTAATTTGTATCTCACAATCACAATTCCTTGTAATTAACAAATCACTTAAACTTGGATCTTCGGATTCTATTATTTAATATTATTTATCACAAAATAAATTTAAATGAAATAATAAATCTCACCAAAATTAAATGCATTAAACATATTAAAAGCGTTTACAACCTAAATCGATTGGGTTTAGGGTATAACACTTACAAACTCCCACTTGCACTAGATCCAATCACTCATGTATCTAATATCATAAGCGTCCACATGACGATCATGTTTCTGTTGTGACAACGGCTTTATCAGTGGATCTGCAATATTGTCATCTGTGGGAACTCGCTCTATCGTTATGTCATTTCTTTGTATAATTTCCCTGATGAGATGATATCGCCTTAGCACATGTTTGGATTGTTGATGAGACCTCGGTTCCTTCGCTCGCGCGATGGCTCCATTGTTATTACAATACAAAGGTATAGGATCAACAATGCTAGGAACGACTCCAAGTTCATTAATGAACTTCTTGATCCAGACAGCTTCCTTCGCTGCTTCAGAAGCAGCAATGTACTCGGATTCTGTTGTTGAATCGCGGTTGTCTCCTGTTTGAAACTTTTCCAACTAACCGCTCCATTATTGAGAGTAAACATATATCCTGATTGAGACTTGCTATCATCTTTGTCAGTTTGAAAGCTAGCATCAGTATACCCATGAATTTTCAGTTTATTTCCTCCATAGATCAAGAACACATCTTTAGTCCTTCTCAAGTACTTAAAAATGTTCTTAATCGCTATCCAGTGTTTTTCACCAGGGTTTGCTTGAAACCTGCTCGTAACACTTAGAGCATATGAAATATATATGAAACATCTGGTCTTATACATAGCATTGCATACATGATAGATCCTATCGTCGAAGTATAAGGAATCATATCCATGCGACTCCTTTCATCATATGTTTTAGGACACATATCTTTTGAGAGGTAAATCCCATGCGACATGGGACATAAACCTCTTTTAAACTCTTCCATATTAAATCTTTTCAATATTTTATCTATGTACGAAGATTGGGATAAGCCTAGTAATCATTTAGATCTATCTCTATAGATCTTGATTCCCAAGATATACGCTACTTCTCCCATATATTTCATGGAGAAATTCTTTGACAACCATAATTTTACCAATTGAAGCATTGGGACTTCGTTTCCCATTAATAATATGTCATCGACATATAATATTAGGAATACGACCGCGCTCCCACTTGTCTTCTTGTAAACACACGATTCATCTTCATTTTTGATAAAATCAAATTTTTTGATTGTTCATCAAAACAAAGATTTCAGCTCCTAGAGGCTTGCTTTAATCCATAAATGGATCGATTTAGCTTACATACTTTGTTGACCCCTTTGGATTCAAAACCTTCAGACTGTGTCATGTACACCCCCTTTTGTAAGTTTCCATTAAGGAAAGCAGTTTTAACATTCATTTGTCATATCTCATAATCATGGTATGCAACTATTGCAAGCAAAATTCGAATGGACTTTAGCATGGCTACAGGTGAAAAAGTTTTATCAAAGTCAACACCTTGTCTTTGTGTGTAACCCTTCGCTACTAGCCTTGCTTTGTACGTATGGACGTTTCCATCCACATTGACCTTTTTCTTGTAAACCCATTTACAACCTATCGGTTTTATCCCATCTGGAAGGTCAACCAAGATCCAAACCTTGTTCTCAGACATTGAGTTCATTTCGGATTTCATGGCTTCTTGCCATCTCTTCGAGTCAACACTTGACTTTGCTTCTGCGTAATTTGTAGGCTCATCATCCTCGACTAATAATACTTGATTAGTAATCGTGAATTCGTACCTTCTGGGAGGTCGAATGATCCTACTTGATTTACGTTGAGCTGGAGTGTCCTCAGGGTTCTCTACATTCTGATCAAGAGTCTGTCTGTCAATAGGTGTAGGATCAGACTCATGTTCATCTAATTGGTCAACAGTATTTGTGGATTCTTGAACTTCTTCAAGTTCCAGTTTGCTCTCACTACCCTCTCTTAGAATAAACTCTTTCTCTAGGAATATGGCATACCTTGAGATGAGCACCTTCTTCTCAATGGGATTATAAAACTGATATCCAATTGTCTCTTTTGGATATCCCACAAATATGCATTTGTCAGATTTAGCCTCAAACTTATCTGATTCATTTCGCTTTACATAAGTGTCACAGCCCCAAACTTTTATATGATATAAGTTTGGTCTTTTTCCTCTCCATAGCTCGTATGGAGTTTTGTCGACTGATTTAGATGGGACACGATTAAGTGTGTAGCACGCAGCAATTAGTGCATGACTCCAAAATGATTTTGGGATGTTTGCATGGCTCATCATAGATCGCACCATGTCTAACAAAATGCGATTCCTCCGTTTAGATACACCATTATGTTGCGGTATATATGGCGGAGTCCACTGCGAGAGAATCCCATTCTCTTTAAGATAATCTAAAAATTCTCCCTTTAAATATTCTCCACCTCGATTTGATCTCCTCAACGTGAGTATATTTTTACCAGTTTGTTTCTCTACTTCAAGTTTGAATTTTTTGAACTTTTCAAGTGTTTCATGCTTGAATTTCATCAGATACACATAAATATATCTAGAATGATCATCAGTGAATGTGACAAAGTAAGAGAAACCACCTCTGGTAATTGTTGACATGGGTCCACGTACATCAATATGTATTAGTCCCAGCAGTTCTGTGGTTCTTTCTCCTTTTCCAGTAAAAGGGACCTAGGTCATTTTGCCTAACAGGCACGACTCGCATTTGTCAAATGATTCAAAATCAGTTGACCCCAAGTATTCATCTTTATATAATTTGGAAATGCGTTTGTCGTTAATATGACCCAATCTGCAATGCCAGAGGTATGTATTATTTAGATGATCACTTTTATGCCTTTTATTTTCTATATTCATAATATACGACTCAATATCAAGAATATAAATTCTATTTTGCAACACACCACAACCATAAAAGATCTCATCTTTATAAAACGAACAACGATTGTTCTTAACATTAATTGAAAAACCATTCATGTCCAAACACGAAATAGAAATAATGTTTTTA